TTCAGGCTGTACTTCTCCATCTTTTCAACAGGAGTATGGTGAGCCCAGTGGAGTAAAAATGATGATAGATATAGAGACAAATGAACCTTCGGACTAACGAACCCCCTCTTATGGAAAGTTTGTGCATTCGGACTATCGAACCTTCGGACTATTGGACCTTCGGACTATCGGGCGGCCCCCGTCCGAACGTACCATCAACTGTTGAAATCTCTTTTCCCAGATGATGCATTCTATGGCAGAGGAAAGCAAGGCCCATCATTTTCGTGACGGACGATGCTGAAGCTGAAAGAAACTTAATGTTTATCCACTTTCATGCATTCTCCTGTGCACATTAGTCATGTTATAACAACAATTCTCACTTCATTTAAATTTACAGAAAAGATACAGGCCATTTGTCACAAGTTTATTATTCCAATCTTAATGTTTTCTAAAACAACATGAAAGAAGATCATTTTTAAATAAATTGAAAAATCCAAGGAGTGCCCTATTTTCATCCCTGAACAATACCTTGAAGGCCACACCTCTACCTTCATGTCATGTAGAAGAGAAGTGTGGCAGGGTTAAGGGGGCTTCATTTGCACATTAAAAACCCAAGTTACTTAAATTCTGCTTGAAGCAGAGAAGTGTGGGCGCTTTGATGGCACTCTCAGGCAATTTGTTTCAACTATTCACAACCCTCTGGCTGTAGAAGTGTTTTCTGACATCAAGTCTTGGTCTGGATTTGGCTAGTTTCTGTTGAATGTCCTCTGGTACTCTGGTAGTCTGCTTTCTGAAACATTGAGTCTGGATTGATCCTTTAGATTTGAGTCATGATTTTGTAGGTTTGGATGAGATCCCCCTTTTCTTTCTTGTTTCTAGTGTGGTCAGGTGCAGATTGTTTAATATCTCATCATAAGACAGGGACTTTAGGCTTGGGATGAGCTTCGTTGCCCTCGCCTGCACTCTTTCAAGGATGTTTTTGTCATATGTGGACTCCATGCTTGCATGGCGTAATCCAGGTGGGGTCTGACTAGGGATTTGTACAACTTCAAGATTACATCCTTACTTCTGTAGCTGAAATTTCTTTTGATCATTCCCAGAGCTCGGTTATTTTTCTTGGCTGCCGTCGCACATTGTGATGAGACTTTAAGAACTCCCAGATCCTTCTCGTCGGTTGTTTCTTTAAGCTTCGTATTCCCCATTGTGTATGTGTGGTGTGGGTTGTGGTGACCAATATGCATGACCAATATGCATTTGTCAGCATTGTAGTTCATTTTCCATTTCTCCGCCCAGCACTGGAAGTGGTCAATGTCATTTTACATGTCCTTAATTGTCCTTTTCCGTTGCTACTGGGTGGGCTAACTTGCCGACTGTGGTGGTTGGAATTAACACTACATTCCATGTCATTCATGTACATCAGGAAGCAGAAAGGTCCTAGTACAGATCCTTGTACCACTGAGCTTGTGACGTTTTTCCAATATGATTCTGCCCCTTGTTTGATGACCTTCTGCTTTCGATTTGTATGCCAATCCTCAATCCAATGTAGTACGCTGCCTTCAATGCCATGGAACTTTATTTTGGCTATCAGTCTTTGGTGGGGGCACGGTGTTTCATTTTAGAAGGAGTCTATATACTATCAATTGGAAAAATACCATCATCCAGAGAACTATAATAAGCATATCAATCATAACTTGTTCATGGTAATGCCACTAGCAACTTTACAATAGACAACTGTTTTGCAAGTTTGTCCGGACACACCGTCTTTTTTTGCTATGCTTCCGAGGATTGGCTTTGTGTTTTCCTTTGTCCCTGTAATATAACACTCTCCCATAGACTAAGCACACAAACCTGCGTTCGAGGACAATAGGCACCTTCCTTCGAGGATCAATGGCCCCTTGGTGTTCCTTTTGTTGTCTGTCCTCAGGCGTAATGCCATGCAGGAACGCCCAGACTTACGTTACATACCTTGTGTGGACATTGCTTTGTTTTCGTGTAGTTAAGAAAACTCGGTACAAAAAATAACTTTACTTAAACTGTGAAAACTCTTTTAACCCATTTTTTTTTCTATGATTCCCTATAGTGTTTCTCTTCATTCTGCTACCGATAAACCTAACCCAAAAATGCCTCTAAACCTGTTTTCCAGAAAATGTGTTCACGGTTTAGTCCGCATAAAGTTAACACAACCTGCATTATGTGGACCTCTTTTGTTCACAAGTCCACATAGGGTATGTAACACAAACTCACCCCCACACACCCCCCCCCCCACCACCCACGGAAGGACAAGGCGGAAACAGTATGCCCCTTCGGCTTCGCCGCGGGGCATAAAAACAACAGCGGAGCAACCCTGATTGTCATTTGATACCTTTTTAAAGTACAAACATCCTGGGAATCTGTCTTGAAAAGCTATCAATCACCGTTGAGAAAATCTTAACATGTAAAATTAAGTTATAGCCTAGCCTACATAATTCCTTTCAACTGACACACTATATGATACAACTGTTCTTGAAAAATGAGTGACAATAAATGCTATTATTACAATAGTAATAAAATAGACAATAGGTTATAAAACAAATGACTTCTGCCAAATATTCACTCGATTTCAAAGCATAAAACTAGCTCTAACATCAAATGGGGCCAATTATGTTCATTTTGTATCTTTTACAGAAGTATAATTCTTTTGTTTACTTATATCATCTGGAAATCGACTGTCGTTAAACGATCCTAATCATTATCAAATTAAAGACTTCATCTTTGTCACGTGATAATGAATAGTACATGTAGTTCTGTTAAAGAACACCACCTTTTTAATAAGGTTGATCATATTAGTTTTATTATTATAGAAACTTGTCCAGAATGTTTTATACTCTTTTCCAGAATGTTTGATAACAAAAAAGACCACTCCAACAGAGACAAATCAAGTCATTGAGACATTTACGTCTATTTGACTAGGTTTATACGATAGCCAATAAGACAAATGATATTCGTATAATACACTGGTGAGAGTCAGTGTCACTCTTTTTCTGTCATTTATGAAAAGCCAAAATGGGACTTATATTTCTTGTATCATATTAAAACTGTTTCGGATTGATTTATTGCCTGTTACGTAACAACACAGACATAATCTGCATAAGAGAAATGGTACGTTGATTACAGCATTGAATTTTCTCTGTTGCGCATACGAAGTTCAAAGCGATTCTGTTCTTGTTACTTGCTACCGATTTTGTATTGTACTGACAAACAGGTATATTCTAAATGTCAAACCTTTTCAAAGAACAGTCATCTACAGCATGGAGTAATTCATGTCTAGGGTAAGACGTGCATATTTAGAATATGCCTGTTTTTTGTGGGTTTTTTTTTTTTTTTTTTTTTAAATTTTTATATATTTTAAATGTTTTTATGTACCCCGCATTTAACTGTTTACTATTCTTAGTGTTTTCTGTAATTGTAATTTTCAATGAATTGTTCTGTATAATTGCTGGGCACCCTGGAAAACAGTGTACCACTGAGAGGTTTCCCCAGGGTAAATAAGAATTAAATAAATAAATAAATAGTCACAAAACATGGTGATATTGCTTTAGAGCACATTCTTCTTACATTTTCAACGACCGTGGAGTGAAAAAGTTGTGTTATTAATCACTATCACTCTATAATATTGTGTCTGCACACACGTGTGTGACGATCAGAAACATACAAATGCTTCTATGTCATGAATAATTTACTACGTGCAAGGCATGGTTCGGGTCGACCAATAGGAAGCGGAAATGTTAATGATGGCCTTTACCATCCTGGGAATTTGTTTTCGTGTACTGGTGCCATGAATGGTACCGGGAAATAGTCAACACTCTAGCCTTTAGTCAAGGTGCGCGTGTCTACCCGGATGCGTGGCGCCCCAGATTCTGGCACGAAAAATAGACCAGTGCGAGTGGCGAAGCCACGAGTGCCTTTACCATCTCGTGGAGCTAATCATTATTAATTTTTTAAAGTAATATGAATCATGCATGTATGCGGATATATATGAACCAATCACCACAAACAAGCCATTTTTGAGGTGATGTGCGCTTTTTTAAAAACAAGACGCGCACGCATTCACAACATGTAATGCATTATGCATAATCATTTCTTTACCAAATCAATAGATACATGTAAAGAAAAACAGCATTTTCCACGAGATGGTTTTCCAAACATAAAACAAAATGGTGGCCATGTGATTCAATTTTAAAGGAAATCAAGCTCCGAGTTGACTTGTATGGCTACCTTGAAATTTCAACTGCAATATTCCAGGCTAATTCAATGCATTTTCTATTTACAACTTTACACACATTGTCTCGGTATTAATTTTTATATAATTAAGTCTCCTTTATGTATTGTTATGGCATAAAAATGGCTAAGAAAATTACTCTTCTTATTTTGCGATGACCAATAGACACGTCGTAACTTGCGACGTTTTTTAAGCCCTTATCAAGGAACTTACGATGCCCTTCAACACATCGCAAGTTTTGTGAAATGGATTATACGATGCGTTGCGAGTTGCGACGTGATACACAGGTACAGAATCATGCTGAATCATTATGAATGTATCAAGAAATTACAAATATTATCTAGATCGGGGTATTCATGGCAGTAATGCAGAAATGTGTGAATCTAGCATAAATGGGGCCAACTAAACTCCGCATTTCAGTTAACTGGTTTCTGATTGTGTTTAGACCATTTTTTTTATATATACTTGGATTACGAATTTTCTAGGTCCCCGCGATGGGCGGTGAGCAGGAAATAAAAAAATTTAAAAAAAAACAACAACAACACCGGTGTTAAAGTGAATCAAAAGCTTGTGATTACTACTTCGAATTTGTTTGGCGGCATTTGTAATTTTTTTGTTTGGATTTCTGATTTTTTTTTTTGGTTTCGATTCCGTAATCCAAGTAATTAAACAAATATGGCCCTTTACATTCACCACTTGTCATTGCTTTTGTTTTGGTAAGCATGATTTCATCATCTTCGAATAATGGAAACTAGAAACTTACCTGCAATAAATCATGCCATGCTTCTTCACAGAAAAACTGCAAGCCTGCCTTGCCTACATTTTCTGCAGTGGTTTTCTGGTCAGCCATAAGTTGTTTCTTCCCCTTTAGCTCAAGTTCAGAGAGGGCTTGAGTGTTGCTCCTGCAATGGTCGCCTAGCAATTCAAGAAGGCGAGAGGAGGGCAACTGAGACGTAGTGATGTGGGCGATGGGGGTAAAAAGGTCCTCAGCATGCTTGTGATCCGATAAAAACACCTACGGGAAAGAGGTAATAATACTAGTTATTGTAATTAGGTGTTATTGTAATTAGGTGTTGGGTGAATAACACCTACTGTTATTCTATGAGTTTACTATTTTTATTATTCTCCAAGACACATTCTTCTCCAGAACTGTTTAGATTAGATTAGATTAGATTAGATTGAACTTTATTATCCCTCACGAGGGAAATGAAAATGGCCTTGACAAAGAACGGGTTATAAAAGCATACAATCACTAGAGCTATGCCTGCTCAATGAACAGGACACAGGCTTTTCCGCATTTTTAAAATAATATGTGTAAAGAAATACTTTAGAAAAAAATACTTTGTCAAATTTTGTATTAGAACAAAATGAAAAAAAAAGTTGATAAATTAATAAAACAATAGGTGATGACAACATCATGACGTCACTTCAGATTTTCATACTATTAACACTATCTACCTACCCACCAAGTTTCAAGACAAACAGACTTACCCTTATAAGTGTTTTAAAATAAAAATCGCATTTTTGATGACATCATCGTGACGTCACACATTTTTCAAAAAAAATGTGCAGATACCTCTTACATAACAAACCTAATACAAAAAGAATTTTGAATTTAGCATGTTTGAAGCCAATCGGATGAATTAAAGTGTTAAACTAGAGCTAATGTGCTTCCCGAAGGACAGATATCAGCCTAAATAGCCGCTTTAACAATTCGTCTGCACATCTGTTCCTTACTCTATATGGTCGGAACTGTCAAAAACGCTTGGTCTAAACCATTAACTGACAACATTTGACATTACGCCCCCGAGAAAATAATGAAACATTGGTAATCTCTGTAGATAAATCCGCCTTCAACATCAAAAATTAATCACAGCGATAGTGTTGTTTATTGGCCTTTGTATTTTTGAATACGCAACGTAGTCATGCCGATAACAAAAACTGTCATATCTGTGTTTCACACATTGCACAAAATGTATGCTAACCATGCCATACCTCCGTTTCCTCGAATACACGTTTGTGCATGGGAACTGGCCTGGTACCAAGCTGATAACAAAACTTGCCATATCTGTGTTTCCAGCAATTCACGTAGTGTATGCTAAGCAAGTTAATACAAAACTTGCCATAACTCCGGTTCCTCGAATACACGTAATGTATGGGAACTGGCCTCCTACCAGCCGATTAAAAAAACCTGCCATATCTATGTTTCTTCATTGCACATAGTGTTAGACAATCAGCTGAAGAAATGACCCCTCCTGACCATTAGGTGACCACTGGCGAAATTCTGTGAACAGCTTTTGTGAGGCTTGGTCCAAAGATATAACTGACCAAGTTTTAAATTAATTGGGTCAAGACTGTGGGAGAAGCATTTTGTAAATATTCATTAAATGACCACTACTGACCATTGGATTACCATTGGCCAGATTTTACGAACATGGCTAGGTAGGGCATGGGTCAAGGTTTAATTTGACCAAGTTTGTTTGAAATCGGCTGAATAGTTGAGGAGTTATGGCCATTTTTTCATTGATCACATGACCGTTTGCCTGAAGAAAGAAATCGGACGATCACAGTATATCAGCGTGCTTCGCACGGCTGATATAATTTTGTAAGCAGAATAAAACTGTAAATATTAAAAAAAAATCATAAAAAAAATCTACCGATGACATCATCGTGACGTCATTTTAAGCGGAAAAGCAATTAATTAAAAAGATGTAAAAATACAATAGGCCTATAGTTAACACAAACTTATAAATCCGGTATTCAGGTAATTACAAGTAAAAAACAAACTACTACATATAATACACAGTTATATTACGTTAAAGAGGTTGTGGTATGCTCGAAGACATTTCCGTCATTTTTCGGGTATATGTAGCCTAAGGTGTGATGAAATAAAAACGATGATTGTGTCTGTCATGAAATGAGCACAAAAGGTACTTTTGAGTGGTGGTCGTTGGTGGCAGCAAACCAGTGTTGTAGTCGAGACCGGATAGTCCGAGACCGAGACCAAGACCGAGACCGAGACCTGAAGTTGCGAGACCGAGACCGAGACCAGCCCCTTCAAGGCAGACCGAGACCGAGACCGAAATGGTCCGAGACCGAGACCGAGACCACGGATAATAAATAAAAATAATCTAAATAAACAACAAGACACTAATTACAGCTGAACAGTATGTCATTAAGATGTTGATGTTCATGGGGATGTGAAGGAAGTGATTGAAAGTTAGGAATCACTTGTACCTGCTTAATTGTGTCATGCGAGTGCTCTTCGTGTTTGCTTCATGCCATAAATTACAACATGGCAACAGAATTTGTTATTGTCACAATCAATTAAAAAAAATTGGAAACAACCTAATTTAAAGAAGGCGAAAACCTTATTGGATGAACTCCATATATTTTTGCCACTTTTAAAAAAATATATATATTTTTAAAATATTGTTCAACTACTATAAAGTGTAAATCTGATGAAGAAACTCTAACTTACGAGTATGACAATTTGTACTAGTTATTGCAAACCTTGAACATGTTGAAACTTGACAAAAGTAAACTATAGGAACTTGGACCCTAAACTTCCACAGCCACCCCTTGGTTTCAGCAATGACCACTAACGGATATTTAAATGCAACTTTAATTTTACATTGGACCTTCTTTGTAAACCTGATTCGAAAAAAAATTTGGAGCAAGAAAATATTGATTTATTTTTTAAAATTTCAGTCATGGAATATAGATTTGTACATGTAGACCAAAACATTGAGAGATGGTGGCCAGATATGGATTGGTCTGCCCCCCCCCCATCCCTCTTTGTGATTCTCCTTCCAAACCTGCATGTTTGTGTGTCCCCTACATGTTTGTTTCTTGTTCCTCTGTCATTTACCTCTGAAGAAGGCCTGGCTAAGGCTGAAATGTAATGCCACTTTATTTTTGTTTAATGTCAATAACGTTACATATACTATAGAAGATTGATGAACCATATTTGCCTGATATATCTTCTGTTAATCTGCCCGCCGTCATCATCGCCATTAGCCTATTTGAGAAATATGGCCGACACAATAGAAGGGCGCTGTCACAAACTGAATGTGGTGGGCGAGATGCACTTTTAGGATTCATGGCTCAGTGCGCACACCTCTCTGTGTTTTGTACCGTGCCATCGTATAGCCCGCATCAGCTACTTTGCTGGGCAATTTACTTGAATATTTTAGTGATTAACAAGTACGACATATTGCCAATATATTAATAGTTTATTATGATGGCCGTAAACAGCATATAGCCAATAAAGCTACAGTCCATCATTTGTAATTTGTGCATTTTGTTCGTTTGAAGCAACAAAAGAGTTCAAAATCTAATGAAGAATACTGAGCAACTAACCTGATGAAGTTTCAGCTAAGCTTCAGCTGTACATTCCGAGAAAAACAGCATTCTAAGATCTCAATTTCAAATCAAAAGTTACCGAATCATGTTTTGAATTGTTTTGAATTGCAGCTATACGCGACGTCGCGCACTGATCCGACGAATTATAGCAACCGCGCGCGCCTGTGGTCGTTCCAATACTTGTGCGCGCTGCGCTAAATAACAAAACTAACTACTAATTTAAATTTTCCTACGGTGCTTCTTAAGAATCACCGTTGGAAATGCCTTCTTTCGTTGATTACTTCAAAATGACAGCTTTCCAGAAAGAATAATTTCACAGGGAGTTTAGTTCCCTTACTATCTTTCAACCAAGTTTGTTTTTCAACAATAATTACGCCAGTTACTTTTCGGATGGCTGCAAATGATGGACTCTGGCTTTAATGGAACACAATTCTTCTCGACTCATGCAAATGCAATTGACGTTTAGGAAGGAGGCGAGGCAGGCAATTAGACTCTATTTTTGTGTGACTATGGCAGTAGCTCAATTTGTGTTTATCACAGATGAAAAGATGAATACATATGGCGAGTCAAAAAGAAAGTGACCATATGATAAAAAAATGGCACGCTCCATTTTGTAAAAAAATATAATTGGGATAAAGAACATGTTATTGAGTAGTAACTGTGAACATTTCACGTAATTTGCATACTCTATTCCCAAGTCGTGTCTATTTTAATAAAGAGATAACAAAATTCAGCTGTCCACCAATAATACCAATTTAACGGTCTACGAATTGATGAATATCCATTAATAAATAGGCCTATAATGAAAAAAAACCACGTTTTCCCGCCTCCACGAATAAAGGAAAAATTGAAAAGGAAAATAGAAAAAAAATCACTAATATTTCTAGGGAAAAAGAGTTGAATTGTTCCTCATATTCAAAATACAAAATCTGACGGTAAAAATAATGTTTCAGTCTTGATTCATAAGATTTAAATCTCAGTTTTATTTGGAATCCATGAGGATGGCTATAAAGTGCTTGTTTCAACAGATCATCCCACAATAAAAACGAGAAATAAGAAGAGGAGCAATGGTTATTGGACTATGCCTCATTCACTAGAAAGTGAAGAGAGACATGTCCATTAGCATCACACTGCAGTCACAATTGCCCTAAACTGATTCTTTACTTAACCCTAAAAGGGCCGGGGGCGGAATCCGCCCCCCTCACTTTTTGGCTGGTCTCGACTCGAAACCAGCCAAAATATCGAGACCAAAGGGGACCGAGACCGAGACCAAGACCGAGACCACAGCTCCCGAGACTGAGACCGAGACCGAGACCGGCAAAAAGTGGTCTCGAGACCGAGACCGGTCTCGAGACCTACAACACTGCAGCAAACAAAACATAGTAAATCGTGACGTAATAAACAGGACTCCCGATGCAGCGTAGATCTGCGTGAGCTGATGCCATGCACATCAAATCACCTGCTGCTTCTTAATTTGAGTTCTGAGAACTTTGTAAACCAGGTAATCTATAAGGGGCGATGGTGTCAGGAGCAATATGTGACAGCGTTGGCTAAAACTTAAGTATCTGCTGTCGATCCCTGGAGCAATGACAGAAATAAGTGTCTTCACTCGCAAAAAAAGTGCACAATTGAGAGTTGTACTCGTTAAGTACGAGAACGCACCTCGATGCCAGAGGCCTCTTGGAATGGTAATGGATAGGAAAGTCAGATCTGTACACATGGAGACACAGTAAGAAGTGTGTACAACTGACCAAGTAGATAAACTGTGCCTCTGGGCAGGTGAAGAGATGCAATGAACCCCAGTAGACAGACGTTTTGATCAAGTCTTCCTGGAAAACAAACATTCTAAACAATTTAAGTTAGTTTGATATTCTGTCTTCTATTGCCTGTACATAATGCCACCTCCTGTAAATAGGCATTGGGGCCAAGATGTAACAATCAGTGTACCTTGCCAGGGCAGTGTCTCTCATGCGTTAGTTTATTTTTTGTTCTTGCCAGAGGGCACTGTTTATTTATACTTGATTTGTTATCGTTTTGCAATGTTATCATATTTCTACAATAAAAATACACACATTTGTTACAACTGATAATGTAGTAACCAAGGGATAACGTATCACCTACTGATAATGTATCATAAATTGACTGATATTGTATCACTAACCGATAATGTAGCAACAATTGACTGATAGTGTAGTAAAATTTGTATCCGATAATGTACAAGAATACACACACAAAAAGAAACCAGTCCTCAACCAGTACACAATGGGCGATCACATCCTTGAAGAAGTGAAAAGCCACCCCTACTTTGGTGTGGAGCTCTCATCTGACATGTCGTGGAAAAAACACATTAATCAGATTTCAACAAAGCCAACAGGACCCTGAGTCTACTTAGGAGGAACCTGTCCTGCTGCGATAGGTCAACTAAAAATACGGCCTATTCTGCCTTGGTCCGTCCACTCTTGGAATACTGCTACACAATCTGGGATCCTAGCAGTCCAACAAAGACACCATTGAAAAAGTCCAGAGACGTGCTGCAAGATTTGTTTCCAATGACTACAGCCGCCAATTCAGTGTTACCAAAAAGCTTACTCTGAAAAGTGGGACACTTTTGAAAACAGACGTACAAGAGCTCGCTTACACCTCACAAAGAAACCCACAGCCTCATCCCCAGCAACATCACTCATCATCTCATTGACCACAACCAACTAAGGCCAAAAACACGTCAGAGTACTGGGAAATTCATCTACAAGCACATCTCAGGAAATAAGAACTGTTATCAGAAGTCTTTGTACCCCAAAACACTTCCTGCTTGGAATTTGCTACCCAAGGTAGCCCGTTGTGCCCCAACTTTAGAAAACTTTAAGAACCACCTATTAAATATTGAACTTGCTGATCTCTGTGACTGGCCAGACTTAAATTCCTGTAATCATGCTGCCAGGTCCCGTCTGTAAGATATTTCTTTGTCGATGTCTTATATTTTTAGCATAAACAGCGATGCGAAAGTTGTCGAAGCATTGCGAGCGCCCTCTTGTGTTTTCCGTTGAATAGAGCATACCGAGTTGCGTAACAATTTGCATATGACACGCAGTGCGAAAAAGCCTTTTATTCCGTGCAGTGTCTCAAAAGCATAGGGCTTCGGACGCACATTCCGTGAATTTTTTCGCTAGTTTTCTTGGAGAGTAAGCAAGCATGGGTAGGTCACTTGACTGCTTGTCATTGCTGCTGCCAGCCACACCTTATTGCGAGCCAGCTTGTCTATATTTTGCTGTGTTTCTCACGTGGTTTTGCCATGGTTAGCACGCCGCATGTGCATACACATATCGTGTACATGCATATCGTGTAGTTTGCCCAAACATCCCGAGGCATAGGTACACAGGCCGCAACTGCTCCGGTAAGTGTTTCAACTTCGTAAATTTTGATGTTATCTTAAATAGCACTTTACGACACATTTTTATGCCATGAATACTCAAGGTTGGAAGCCAAGTCTGTATGAAGATTGTTGTGCATAAGATGACTTGAATTTTTGATACCGAACCTCCTGGTAATATTGACTGTATACTTGCACATACTTCGATCCTAAATACATGTTTCTTGTATGTTGAATTATAGGGTCAATGCACTTTATTTGAACTCAAATTTGGATAGCGTGGATGGAAAGAGAAATAAGAGAATGTTCTAGCCTGAAATGAAACACATGAGACATATAGATGGATGTACGAATACAGAATATTGAATACTCTTTTTATGAGCATTACTGTTTAAACAAACAAATGTTAAGAAATAGATGTACGGTATAAAATGCATTGTAAATTCATCAATATAGAAGAACTACGGATGTGTACACATGTACTGTGGAGATGAAACTTTTTGATGGCACTGATGATTATTTAATATTCCTTCATCGAAACATTTATTAACCCTTACTCTCTGAGGGTAGTTTACTGCATGTCAGTTGGTTATGCCAATGCCCTCCAGCTGCAGTTATTTGGCAGATAACAAGTCTTAACAGTGAAGGCTCCAATTGGCAGGAGTTGGAGGCCCTGGAGGGTGCCTGATACTGACCAGCTGGGGGCACTCACTTTGTTATCAGAGGACTCTCATTGTTCTCTGTGGCATGTATTGGAGTGCCTGTCCAGTTACCCTTGAAATGACATGGCAGATATTGGAGGGCCATGCAAAAAACATAGGAGATTTTCTTGAGGCACAATTGGCATGCATTGGAGGGTCAAGTAGGGTAAGGGTTATTATTTATGAGAGTACTTAATTAGTACAGTAATTTTATTACAGCTACTGCTTGTGGTTCTGTGGTTCCTGATGGTCACAAATAGAGAGGCCTTCTTGAGTAGACCAGTGTATCCCTTATCCAGCATCCATAATATTTGGGTACGTGTATTAAACATTATTGCTTGAAATGTGCCTAAGAAATTGGAGATTTGGAGATTAATGTGTTGTAAAATTATTGCATAGCAAGTGCTTATGGAGATTATTTCTCCTTGATTAAATTTTTATGCCTTTAATATTTTATGCCTCTCGTAAGAAATGTACTTGTAAATTCGCAGCAAAAACATTTCTATGGAACAAATCAATGGAAATTGAGGTTTATAGAACCAGTAAGGCAATTTCTCAAGATAGGAGATAACCAAGGATAAGGAGAGATGGTTATTTCAAATAATTAAATAATTAAATAATTGAATATTGGATTCATAGTCATTGTATATTTGTAATTAAATTAATTTCTATTCTTCTGTTTTCTGTTATTACAGACTGCTGAAGAATGACTGTCGTTTTTTTGTAATAATAAAATTTTGATCAATTTATAGTGGAATATATACCCAGTGTCACTTTTAAATTTTTCTGCGTAACCTTTCCAGCTCGGTTACATCTACATAAGGGTACTAAAAACTAGTTTGCACCGACTCCTTGCATTGCGCTAACTGTAGGGAATAGCCACACCAGGCGTTTGTACAAAAGCTAACAGATGCAGATATATCACGTGTCGACGGATAATGTAATAACCAAAAAAATGTATCTGATAATGTATCAACCGATAACGTATCCAAAATCAACTGATAATGTATCAGTACGGGAAAAGGTGGACATGTTACAGATTAATTGAGTGCACTGTCGGGCACAATTACCCGACAACTGTTTAGAATTGTTCTGATAAATTTTTCTTTCTTTCTTTTTTTAACAATACTTTTTGTAACTTCAACACCTTTCAACCGTCATCCTGAGTGGTGTATATTACTCTGACAACATGATGCCGTCATCAGGTGTCAAAGTACAAGCGATTTTAGCTGAAGAATGACCAATTGATTTATTTTATATATTACTCTTCAACAAAATAATCAGTGACGGTTGTGTGTTGTACATCGGAGAGGTGTCAATCTCCGTATCCATCCAGCTCAGTGCAAAAAAATATTACGAACAAGACACCTTGAAAACAGATGCTTGATGCTGCCATTTTGATTCGTTCATGTCTAACACACACATATGACTGGCATTTGTATAGCCAATCTACCACAGGAAATGATCATGTAACCAGAGCTGCCACAAAAGATACAAGGTAACAAGCGGCAATCATCCTTAAATGAACTACTGAAAAGTTTCAGAGACTGTATTCGCATTCGGAGGATATGACTGTTTCAGAGTAATGAAAATCCATATTTCCAATATTTTGTTGCATTAAAGATATAGTCCATCATTTGTAATTTGTGCATTTTGTTCGTTTGAAGCAACAAAAGTGCTCAAAATCTAAAGAAGGGTACTGAACAACTAACCTGATGAAGTTTCAGCTCAGCTTCAGCTGTATATTCCGAGAAAACCAGCATTCTAGGATCTCAATTTCAAATCAAAAGTTGCTGAATCATGTTTTGAATTGCGCCTGAATTCAGCGTCCGAGACACGTTCTCGCTGAGTCGATTGCAGCTACGCGATGTTGCGCAATGATCCGACGAATTATAGCAACCGGGGGTGCGTGTGCATCGTGCCAATGCTTGCGTGCGCTTTGCCGAATAACAAAACGAACTACTAATTTAAATTTTCCTACGGTACATCTTAAGGAGGAACCGTTGGAAAGGCCTTCTTTTGTTGATTACTTCAAAATGACAGCTTGCCAGAAAGAATAATTTCACAGGGAGTTTAGTCCCCTTACTATCTTTTAACCAAGTATGTTTTTCAACAATAATTACGCCAGCTACTTTCGGATAGCAACAAATGATGGACTATAGCTTTAAGTCTATATCAACCACAAGAAAACGTCTGGTTGTGCAAAACAGGTTCATTCATTGTTTTCTTATTTGTCCATTCACTGACTTAAGTAAGATTGACGCATAACTTTTGATTATTTTTTTTTTTTGGGGGGGGTGCTTTTTCGCATTATTGATTTTCCCACTTTCAGTAGCCTTGGTCAATGCTCTCGTCGTTATTCGTCCCGTACGCGGTCAATCGTCGGCATATATCCTCACGCGCTATGCACATAATTATGCATGTAAAAATACAGCGCAAACAGCGACCTCATGCGGCCACTATTTTTATGCAAATCAGTTGGAGACGATGTCGAGCCTTGGTTCAATCGTCCATGTGAGGTTTTGGGGGTGGTGCTCATTATGTAAATAGCCTTAGCTGACCTTAAATGTCGTTTTCTTATTGGTCGATCGTTGCGTGGGAACTTGCATAGTGAAACGTGGCACCGTACATAATCCATACACGAACACATTGTGTGTCTCTGCACACGGCACCCATGCACAAAAACTGTGGTTCCTGTCACGTCCGCAAAAGGCGGAATAGCTGCAAATAATTTGATGACGTCCGGATTTACCAAGGTGTGATTGGACACTCCACATATTAGCCCCGCCTACATTATCTGTATTCGCATACGAGGTCGTGCGCTGGAAATCTAGCGCAAAGTAAAGAAAAACATAAGCTTTGGCCGACGATTGAACCAAGGCTCGACATCGTCTCCAACTGATTTGCATAAAAATAGTGGCCGCGTGAGGTCGCTGTTCGCGCTGTATTTTTACATGCATGTGGATAGCGCGTGAGGATTATGCCGACGATTGACCGCGTACGGGACAAATAACGACGAGAGCATTGACCAAGGCTACACTTTCAGAGAAATACCTCTTCTTTGCAATGCCCCCCTCACACTCCCGCGACAACCGTGCACGTATGGTTATTTGCAAATAATATACCCACCATCAAATACCATATTTCATTGTTTCACCAAAACCCAAGTTGAGCGGGACCTGTACGTGTGTTTTGGTTTTCAGTAATGAGCAAAACAACTGATCACATTGAATATTAATTTTGGGAAATATGATTTGTAAGCATTTAAAATGTGATTCCACAGTTTGCAAATGCAGCAGCCCCATTTCATCACTGATCATGAAGTGGCAATAACTTCCTCATCTAGAAAATTAATATTTTGAAGAAGAAAAAAAAATCGCTGTTGAACTTTATCCTTTTTTACAAACTGTTGGACCACTTTGCTGTAACAAAGTTCATAAACCTTTTGCACTTTCTAACAGCTCATGCTTTACTCTTTGGTATTTTACAGTTGTGTTTACATTTTGTTCTTAATCAATCATTAACAAAATTTTGACACTTCATGAGAACATAAATGTATATATGTTCGCACGTTTTCCAACACTGTGGGAAATTAATACAGGCTGATTCGTGTAGACCAATGAATGTATGATTCAGGGTATGATTCTTCTTGCCTAACAAGGTAACTTTTGCCACAGTGAAAACAAAAAAACAACTTTGAGCTCAGGCATTTTCCCAAATATTTATTTTCGATAAACTTGTGTGGATACAGAGGGGTGGTTTTGGGGGTCACCCCCCCCCCCCCCCCATCTGACATCAAACAATATATAACAATGAATCGATTTAGGAGCGGATCCAGGAATGTTTGGGGGGGGGGGTTGGATTAGTAAATCAATTCTGAAATGTAGACAGGTTTGTTTTTTTCCTCCAGACACTTGGCCTCCGCAAAATCAATAGGTGGAGGGGGCTGGGCTCGGACCATAGTTTCAGCGGGGGCGCTGCTCAAATCCGACCATCATTAACGCTATAATACATAATACAGTACAAATACTGCTGGCTCTGTCCGAATTTGGCACAGGACATTATTACCAGTATAATTATTTTGGGGTGTGACAGCAGGGGGGAGTTTCACATTATTTTTGGCTGTTTCGGCAACCGGCCAAAACAGCCTTTGTTTTTGTTAAGATTTTTTTTTTCTTTTTGGCTTTTCCGCATAGTAGCGGAAAAGCCTTTCTTTTTGTTAAGATTTTTCTTTCTTCTTCTTTTTGTCACCTAAACCCCATAGACTTTGTACACGTTTTTTCTCAATGCCACTTTTGGCATTAATCTTTGTCGTACATCATTCAAAGTCAGCATAGGCATAGTCTTTATAGCATAGTTGTGTCCCGAAGAGTGACGTCATCGTGACGTCACCGTTGGTCACGTGACGTCATCACAAATGTGCAAACTTTAAGACCCAATATCTAGAGAACTGTAAGTCCGATTGGGTTGAAACTTGGTATGTAGGTAGACCGGGATGTGTTATAGGTAAAAATTGAGGTGACGTCATGATGATGTCATCGTGCGATTTTATATGATTTTTTGAATTTTTGGACCTTTAAGTCATATCTCTTGAACGCAACATTCAAAATTTGAAATTTTATTTGTATTATGTTTGTTAGGTAATAGGTATATGTACAAATTTTTTTAAAATGTGTGACGTTATCATGACGTCATCAAAAATGCGTTTTTTCAAACACATATAAGGGAAGGTTTGATTGTCATGAAACTTGGTGGATAGCTAGATAATGGTACTGGTATGCAAAATCCGAAATGATGTCACCATGACGTCATCGCATGGTTTTTAATATTTGTTTAATATTTACAATTTCATTCCGTTTCCAAAATTGTAACACTTCCTTTCATTGGATTGACTTTAAGCTTGGTACAAACCAAGACCAAAATGCAAAAATGTGCATTGACAAGTGTTATCAAGATGACGTCATCGCAGGGCATGTGGCGCTATCATAAAGATGCATTTTTTTATAGTCTCATATTGAGAAAACTACAGTCCAAATGCGTCAAAATTGTCAAAAAGTAGTCCGACACGTCTGATTTAATATGGATTTATTTCTTTTGATCGATAATATATCTCACATGCTAAATTAAAAAACTATTGTACCGTATACAATGTACTTTGAAACGTTTTACATGTTAAGTCTGGGAAGTGTTATTGAAAAAAAAAGCATAATGCAGAAAAGCCTTGTGTTCTGTTGCAAACAGACATAGATCTCTAGTTGTTTTTTCTTTTTCAGTCATTTTGCCAATAGCATTTGTACACGTTTTTTTGTCCAAGGCACTTTGGGCACTAAAATCAATCCGATTGCCTTTATACTTGGCACACACTTAGACCAGCATCTGAAGATGTGTGCCAAACATTGACATCATCGTGACGTCATCAGAGTCACGTGAAGTCACGTAAATGCGATTTTGCTGTTTTGACCGGCTAGATCTGACAGATTGGGCTATATCTCCAGAGCTACAGGTCCGATTGGGTTAAAAGTTGGTATGTACCTAGACCGGGATGTCTTATAGATAAAAATTAACTTGACGTCATGATGATGTCATCACGTGACATATGACGTCATACAAAATAAACATATTTTTGAAGGCCAATATCTACAGAACTACAGGTCTGATTGGGTTTAAACTTGGTGTGTACCTAGACCGGGATGTGTTATAGATGAAATTGATGTGACGTCATGATGATGTCATCACCTGACATGTGACGTCATAATTCAAAGCCCTATGAGAATGTAATCACATATTACACGCCAACATTTATTTTA